ATATATATATATAAACACATTATGTATGTTATATATACTTTTTTGGCTACTGAATATTTTTTGTGTATATCTATACTATATTAAAAGCACGAAGTCCCTTAACGAAATGACGTTCGCCTTTTTTATCCTTTAAAAATTAAATTTTGCACTAGACAAAATAGTCATTTAAATCATTTTCCTAATATTTAAGATTTGAAAATTAATTATTATATTTTATGTATTAAATCCTTCCTTATTTAAACTTGGTAGAAAATCCTAATATTTAGAACTTTAAAATCAAGTAAACTTTTACATTATATCAATCACTTCCAAAAAAAAAAAAACACCAACTTAACATATGTTTACCACGTTTTCTCCCTATCCCTTCATTAACAACAGATACATTTCTACAATGAATTAATATTTACTTATTGTAACTTAAACTAACGGCTTTTGTGTGTCAAGTACCACAGGTAATAATTTATTGAATAATTAATTAATTGTTTTTTATATTTAACTGTTTAAATGAATTAAAATTTCACGCATTAAAATCTTTCTTATTTGACGCAGAAAGTCCTGCTATTTAGAATTTTAAAACTGTTCAGAGTTTACTTTATACAAATCTACGTTTATGAGTTTAAAATTAATTAAAATTTACTTATTAAATATTTTCTTATTTAAATTATATAAAAAGTCCAATACCTTTAAAAATATTAAGAGTTTACTGTATGTAAATCTTACACGTAAAAATTTATACTATATTAAAAGCAAGAAAGCCCTTAGCGAAATGTGTTCATCTTTTTTACCCTTTTAAAATTAAAGATCACACTAGATAAAAAAAAGTCATTTAATATCTCCCTAAGATTTAGGACCTTTAAATTAACTAAAAATTTTAAGAATTTAAAATCAACCATTATACGTTGATTCAATTGTCCAACGAGAATACATCCAAGTACCATATTCTATTTATCAATGCCATATAACCATATTTTATTTACCAACGCCATATCTTTTAAGACAAGATAATTGCTTCTGTTGTCTTTTAATTTTGATACAAAGTTGGAAAGGTTCTAAGTCTATATGAGCTAATATTATGTACCTTGGTTATAAAAAATAAATTTTATCACCATATAAAAAATAGACATATAGATACCAAGGGGAAAAAAGACTCAAATCCGAGAAAAGAAAATCATAACATGTTTTAAAACTTTTAGTCTCTTTGTTATATAAAAAAATAACTTAAATTTATTTCCTACCTAAAATATTTATTTTAGAATCTTGACAAATTAAATTAGATTCTATTTATTATTCTTCATAAAAATGAAAAACTGATCATACTTATTTATAATCTATATTCATAATAAATATTGTTTACTAAACCTTCCTCTAAATTAGAAAAATCAATCTTTAAATATATAATTCACTACCATATACCACATATTTTTTTATGTTGAACAAGTTTTTAAATTTTTAATCTCTTTTGTTATAAAAAATAACTCACCTTCATTTTTCTACATAAAATATTTGTGTTACAATCTTGATGATACATTAATTATGAAAAAGTTACCATTAATTTAAAAGCTTCATTATTTTTGTATTCATTATTTGATAATTAATAAATAATATTATTATTTCCTTGTAGGGTGATCTTAGGAATGTACTAGATCTCCTTTTCAAAAATTTAAGTTATTATTTAAAATTTTCAAGCTCTTAATATTTTAAGAAAAATAATAACTACTTAATTAATATCATTAGACGAAGATGTAAGAAAATTTGTTTAAAGAACAGCTTCCTCAATATTGATCTAGTTAGGTGACTGGAGTTTTATGAAAAATTGCATTGTTTAGTAAATTAGAATTTCAAGAAATATATATCCAGTAGTTAAGGTTTACAATATTTTGATGAAATAACCATTTTGACAAATTCTAAAGTAATATAATACTGTTATTGGTCTAATTGATAGTCGAAATTTGTATTACTGGTATTCCAAAGAGATGTTAGACGAGATACAACAACATGACATATTTATATCATATTTCGCAAGATATTATAATTACAAATATTATATAACTAATTCAACTAAATTCATCATTTTTGTATGTTAAGAAGATATTGTTTCAATGAATATAATAATTTATTTTTTTATATATATTTTATACTGATTGACGCGAAATACACGTGCAACGTACGTACACTAAAGCTAATATATATATATATATATATATAGAGAGAGATTATGTATGTTATATATACTTTTTTGGCCACTGAATACAAATAGTTTCTGGCGCAGGCTAAAAGCGAAAAAAGTCAAAATAAATTCCACAGCAGACTTTTGCGAATAATTTTCTTTTTTCTCCCGAAATTGTTATCTCGAGTGATTGTAACCGATCGAGCCATCAGGAACTTATGTGCTACGGTGGAAAACTTGATGCTGTTAGTCAAACTTGGCAATTGGCATTAGACGACAACGCCTTTCATCTAGACTACCCACGTAAATCTGCCACCCCCTCGCGAATTCCCGTCGTCGCTCCGGCGTGCCCTTCCCCGGAGTTATCCATGACCCTCGTTGCTGAGGTGTCAACCACATGCCAGGCGCAAGGATGAGAAAGAAATCTAATAGTAGAAGAATTAACCCCCTACCTCAACAACCTTCAATGGCTTCTGCCTCTCCTTTTCTTCTCCATTACAGAAAGATCTCCGTCCTTGTCTTTTTAATCCTAGTTGTTTGTTTAATAGTTTTTTTAAATACTTCATCGACAAAGGAAGGCGTGTTTCAATCCGATATGCCGTCTAATCAGCTTTACACAGTCGAAGTGATCAATGAGTTCCCTCACGATCCTGGCGCCTTCACGCAGGTTCGTTTTTTCTTTCACTTCTATTAAATTTAGTTGATCCTCTAGATTTATGTTGAGTTCTAGCGCCTCTTTCATTTAATTTGTGTCATCAGAAATAGGGATTGGAAATTCAATTCGCATAAGAAAAAATGATGTCTAATTAGAGTATTTTCCTAGCATCTTTTTGGCATTTGGTAGTTTGATTGAGCTACTAGAATAAAATGGACTATATCCTATGTGTTTCAAATTTTCTTTCAAATATTTTCGAATTGTTTAGTTGGCTTTGCTGCTGGCAAGTAATGTACCTAAAAAAGAGAGACAAACACATGTTGCAGGCCAGGCTGAGTTCTCAATTCTCATTTCTCTTAGGTATGAAATTAGAGCTAGTACAAGTATCTGGTATCTTCATATCAGATCATACATCTAATCGAAATAATTATAGTTCCTCTGCTGCATTTACAATAAACATCACCAATTGATAGAAACTTTCAGCAAACCGACAATAAGAATAAACGTTAAGGCATTATCTGATGACTGTACTGGAGTCTTTCTCCATGGCTTAGCTTGCATCATTCACCTTTGATGGTTCTCTTTCCTGAACATTTTTTGCCCAACATTCTCTCCAATGTAGTAACTCATTCCCTATCAATAGATGTGGAGACTGTTCCCCATTCACCTAGATCAATATGATGATGGAGTTAAGTATAATCTTAGGTGAAACTGTTCTATTTAACTACTTTAAACATGCTTAATATTTACTGTGCGAAAACCTAAATGAGCAAAGACAAAATACATTTTTCTTCACACTATCAGCTTTCAAATGGCAAGATCTCAACCATTCTTGTAAAATGATTGAAATCTATTGATATTTGATATTGATGTTCTCCCCTTTCTTTGCTTGCTTTATAGTTTTAATCTGCTTTGCTTGGTAATAAACCTGAAATATTATGGGTTGGCTACATTTATCCTATTCAATTCTAATTAGAAGTCCCAAAGTAGGGGCCAGCTATAGTATTAAACTATTAATCATATGTTGCTTTTTCTTTTGATAAGTAATCAGATAGCACTTTTTCCATCTAATAATACTGAACACTTTTTTATAGGGACTGCTGTATGCAGAAAATGATACCCTATTTGAGTCTACTGGAATGAATGGGGCTGTGAGTTTCCCTCTGGTTCTAAAGTTGACTTCAACTGATTATTTCTTAGGAAGATTTGGTTTGCCAGAATTTTTCGTAACTGATAGTGTTTATGATATTTGACTACAGTCATCTGTTCGGAAGGTCACTCTGCAGACTGGCGAGGTAATTGGCTTAGATGCTCTGAATGAAAGATGGTGCGAAATAAAATAGTTAAGATAAACTCTTATATCATTTCAATTATTATGTTCAAAATGAGAATTTAAAAAGAAAACGATGTGAAAATTATGAAAGTTAGCAAAAAGGAAACAAAGGATGAGAAACATAATTGCACGAGAAGATGCAATGAATGTTGAAGCTTATTCCCTATTAAGGAAACATCCTGCCATACAATAACTTTGTAAAGTGCTGATGTTTCTTTTTATGCAGCAGCTGTTCCCATGATATAAAATATCAAAAGAAGAAAATGTGTTCCCATGATATTAACATTGACCGATGACAAGTGCAATATATAATTCCTGACATTCAAGCTCAGTTGGAGATGCCGAGTTGATATATCATTGAACCTTTTTGCTTCTGGCATTCACAGGTTGAGGCTATTCAGAAAATGCAGTACTCTGACTTTGGGGAGGGCTTAACTCTTCTTGGTGATAGGTTTGTGATCTAAACTGAATGGTTTTACTTTTCATTCAGCTAATGATAGGTTTTCTTTTTTTATCTTAAAATTAAGAATGTTTTTACTTTCCTTGATTCAACTAGTGAAGAAATTCATGTGATAAGTAACTCGTTCTTTTCCAAAAGAAAATACTCTTTCCCATTAGTTATACGTTATACAGCGTGATAATGATGCTTCTGGGGAACTTACTTTCTGGGAGAATACAATGCTAATCAATATGTTGTTTTTGACTGATAAAGGAAAACATGTTTTTGTTGCCCACATGGATATAGTCCCTATTAGGTTTTTGACTACTATGATCTTTTATGACTTGATGCCTGAACCCGACTCCAACTCCTAGCGTTCCAGTTGAAACTCAAGGAGATGGAACTAAACAGGCTTGCTCAACGAGGTTGTAGTCGTAGTAGTCCTCTAATCGAGAAATCTTTTAATATCCGATCATGATTCATGGAACCCGGAATCCGACTAGTGAAACCAGGCTTTTATGGTTCCTCTCTCTCTCTCCCTTTCTCTCTCTCCCTCTCTGTAAGGAAGAGTTTATCTATCCTCCTCTTGGTACTTCTGCATGATTGTGTCTTATTCTGTGAAATAAGTTGATAGTCTCCTCAAATCTGAAGGGCTTCTGAAAACTCCCTTGATTGCGAAAGTACCCACTGTGCTTTCGAATAGTTCTCTGACTTAAATTAAAGAAGAGTTTTGGCTGCATGGTATATTCTCAATTTCTGTATTTCTTTGTACAGTGATTGTTGTTTTTCCTTTTATGATGAAAAAGATGGACCTCACATCTAATATAGTAATCTTAATGTATTTTATAGGTTGATTCAAGTAACTTGGCGGCAGAGTACTGGTTACATATATGATCGGCATAATCTGAGCAAAGTATGTTGCTTATGCTTTAATATTTGTTCAGTGTTTTTTGCAGCTTTGTGCTATTGATGTTAGTAGTGGCTAGACTTGCTCAGATGAAGTCCTGTTGGACGTAATGTGGTAAGAATTTTATGATGTTTACTGCGAACTCTCTGGCTGGAAAGAGAGATTTTCCCTGTGCTGATCATTTTGTTTTGATCTCGTTTGCAAATCCCAACTTTCTGACGCTGAGGTCATGGCGGAAAGTGGTAAAAGAACTTAGAAGTGGTGTCGTGATGGCATTAACTGTAATAGTATGTGTCTGGAACTTATACTTTTTACCTGATAGTATGAAATCGGAAAAATTACTCTTTGGCTGCTCTGGATATATTGTTCGATAGGTCTACCTGTCAGTTGAGACTTTTCCTGAGTTGTCACTAGCTAAGCATCTCAATACAGTTTCTTTGATGAACATCTCTATTCAGTTAATCTATAATCACTTGTTCTACATTTATTCTGATATTGCTGATAAATACTTAACAATGACATGATAATAGACAACTACATCTTTTTCTTCAAGATATTGACTATTCTTCAAGTGTATATTTCAAACTGGAAAAAGAATTCCATTAACCTAACTTCAATTTCTCTGCTCGATGAAGCTTTAAGCTGGTTTTATTTTGATTTCAGTTGCCTTCTGTATTCAACTACTTGAACGGAAAGATTGCCATTTCCAGAACGTGAATCTCGGTTTTTCGTCCCAAGTCTAATATACAACATAAACTGCCATTTGCAATGCAGAAATATGCTGTGTATTAATCCTTGCACATTTGGGATTGTGGAGCGAGAAATGCTAGTATTTTTGTGGTTGCAAGATTTTTATAGTGACATATGCTCCTCTATATTGCTTTTTTCCCCTTCCACCTCCTCAGTAATTCTTACGGTTGATTCCTCTTCAGTTTGAGAAGTTCAGCCATGGTATGCCCGATGGTTGGGGATTGGCAACTGATGGGAAAGTCCTTTTTGGAAGTGATGGATCTTCTACCCTGTATCAGATTGATCCTCAAACTATGAAAGGTTTTGTCATCTGAAGGTCAAATTATGATTCAGCTGTTTTGTTCTTCCTATAAGAATTTTTCGTTTTGTTCTTATGCTTTTTTTTTTCCCGTTCTTGCAGTAGTTAAAAAACAAATTGTAAACTATCAAGGTGATGAAGTGCACAGACTAAATGAACTAGAGTATGTTTATGATGAAGTTTGGGCAAATATTTGGATGGTATGGACTTGCTCACCCCAACTCCCTCTTCGGAAAGATTGATTTTCTATTACACATCGCAATTATTTTCCCTTAAAATCATCCTAAGCGCTACTAATGTGGCTACTAAGCTATTTCTCTAACGACAAACGGCAGCATCTTGAGATCTTCTTGAAACTTAAACTGTGTTTTACTTGTTCTAGTAGTGAGTGCTTGTGGGCAAGTCCTTTTCTGGTACCTTGTAGTTAACAAGGATACAAGGCATCATTATTAAAACTTAAAAATAATAGTAACTGCTTTATCTGAACCCAATATGTGAAGTTCTGGATGTTGTATGTTATCACTGAGCTTGAGGTACAGATCAATGGTTTCTCTTTGATTTGCCGTGTAGTGGCTTCCTCGATTTCCACGTTCGATGGAGAACTTTTATCATTACATGAGCAACCAAAATGATAGAGGATATTTTCCGAGTATGGCAGTTCTCGGTGTTTTTAAAGAATCACTTGAAATCCTTATAAAAATAATCACTTGAGACATCCTTAAACCTTTGAAGTTAGGTATCTTATAGGTAAAGCTCTTCACTTAAACAGAGCTTCAGTCTGCGCCAAAGCGCTAATGTGTGAGCCTCATCAATCATGGCTTGAACTGTCTTGAAAAGTGTAGCACTGAACTCACTTAGGTGACATTTACAGTATAGACACCAAGGCACCTAAGCATTTGCCTCAGTGTCCATAGGCTCTCTCTTGAAGACGGCACAAGACATTAAGCATTAGTTGGAAAAATGATATCTTTCTTGTTAAATACTAACAAATATTTAGTGATTAGGAATAGAAAAATAGAAGTTTAGTTTATTAAAAACTACAGTCAGTAACTTTGAATTGGAGACTCAAAGCTGCATGGTCGCAATTGAATCAGGTATTTTAAATGGTATTTGAATTGATTGAGTTTAAAAAAAAAGGTTTTTGAGCTTGATTGACAGGGCTTGTTATTTCATAAGTTCACTTAATTGCTTCCCACTCCTTTATGCGTGTTTGTATATATAGTTATTTCTGCATTTATGCTTTTCTTACCTAAAGTGCGTGCAGTAATTGTGCTTTTTGCTTAAGTCCTAGCAAACTTTGGATTTTTTGGCTTTTCGCCTTTGACAACAATACCAGTTCTAGTGAAGTATACAATGCTTCTGTTTGATTCTGAAGCCCAAACGTTTGAATAATTTCGTTTACAACTCAAGTGTGGCGTAGGGTTAACTCTGACTTATGTCCACCTATCTCTGCAGACTGACTGTATAGCTAGAATATCACATAAAGATGGCTCAGTGCTTGGATGGATTCTCCTCCACAATTTGAGGTTCTTCTAACAGCTCTTTCCTTGTAGCATTACTTCAGTATTAGGCAATTATTACTCCTAGAAAATTGGAGGTAGAGTGAAATGATGTGTCTTCTGTTACTTATGCAGAGAAGGATTGCTACACAATTTGAAGGTCAGTTTACTTTAGCATCTGCTTTTGACTCTGTGTATAATGTTTACTTGGACCTTTTGAACATCTTCTTCAATACTTACCTTTGCTGCAGCAAATTGATGTCTTAAATGGCATAGCATGGGATAGGGATGGTGACCGTCTTTTTGGTGAGCTCCATCATCTTGTTGCTTTTCCTTTAGTGCTTAGGGTTTGGTTGTGATTATTCACAAAAATATTGAGAGAATTTCTCACTTGATGGATACCTGAAAGTCGGTTAAAAATGCATATTTACGAAGCATGCCACTTGTGATTTAATTGGTTAAATACCTGATCAGCCATAGTAGTTGAATCAAGTTACCACACGTTAAGAGCAAACAATAGATGTTTAATGTATGTGACGTGCAATGGCGGAGCCAGAATTTTCGTTAAGGGGTGTTGAAATATATAAAAGTAAACATACCAGAAAATTAAGGGGAATCAATACATATAGTGTATATATATATATATTTTTTACCTATCTACACAGTGTATTTTTCCCGCAAAGGGGTCCTATAAGGTGGCTCCGCCACTGGTGACGTGTGCCATTCCCAGCAATCCTAGTTTCTCAATTTGTTAGGGTCGGGTTAGGGCAAAGATGGGAAATGAGATTTTATTCACATCAGTAAAGCATAACTATGGAGAAACTATGTACATGTGAATGAATGGCAACATTCGTGGATGCAAAAAAAAAGCGTAGACTGATCTGCCTACTGCCACTATTTTCGTCCGACATTTTTTCTGTAAATGATAGAAAAATTCAATGAGATTAGTTTGAAGTCATAGTTTTGATAAGTATTTACATGTATTATGAATCAAGCATGATTATAGTGGTTAAGTTTGGACAGATTAGCCTTTTGCCATTATTGTGCCAAAAAAAATGTTCATCAGCTTTCATATAAATTCTGTTGTTCTATAGTAACAAGTGTACCGTAACAAGGAAATATCATTAAGCCGAATTATTACTTTATTCAGTCACAGGCAAATGGTGGCCGAAGCTTTATGAGATTAAGTTGCACCCGTTGAAGACACCATTCAACGGAGACATTAAGCAGATCTGCATGCCCCCGGCATTTCCTTTTTCATAGTCCCCAGTGGATATTCTTCTGCAAATTCTAAATTATTGTGTTAGTACATCAATTTTTTGCAGATTTTGTATATGTACTTGCTGTTGGTATATTAACTTGTCCCATGCCTAGAACAGAAGCAAATTTGTAGCTGACTAGCTGCTGCCTGGTCAACTCGATTATTATATGGGCTAGAGCAAAATGCAGCTCAAGTAGAAGAGAAACTTTACCTTATAGCCTTACTCTCCTGCTCATCTTTTCTTTTGACTTATGATAGAACTGCTACTTTAAATTTTATATCCTATTAATGCAAAGTTTTATTTTCACATATAAATGTAAGGTTCGATTCGTTCCTTTGCCTTTCCCAACACGGGGCCTAAAAACAATGGGGTATTATCACTTTTAGCATGTGTCGGAAATTATTTATATTTGGTAGCCGAAAAAGTGTATAAAATTTGTATAATTTTTGTATATAACATACATAATGTATATATAAAAAAATGTCATTTTCCCAAAAACAATCTAAAAAGGAAAAAAAAAAAAAGTTGTGCCAACTGAGCCCAGTAGTCGGGTTAACTGCCGTCAAATAAAAGAGAAACTTCATTGTAAGCAAAAGAAATGCCAGCTTCAAGCTTTACTTGGAAAAATGATTATTTTGTTGGGAATACCTCTCAAACACATAATTACAAATGGTTTATTTTCGTTTGAAGATTTCCCGCCACGTAAGGATCTCTCAGTTTTGTTACCTTAAATCCTTAATTATCAAACATTTGAATTACAAAAAGGTAGAGTTTTAATTGAACGCAAACTCTTTCTCATTCTTAATCTACTCGACTTTTCTCTAATCTGGTTTCTCAGTTAAACCCTTCTGCTGTAATCTCATCCTGTAATCTCCTTAACAATGTTTTTTACCGTTTCATCCATCACTCGAAAACTCTCAAAGCCAACTTCATTCTTTGGGGTCGAATTATGGGTTGCCATTCTCATTTGCATAATTCTTTTTGTCCTCAGCTTTGCTCTCGGCATCACTCTTTATGTTATCTCAACTAGGCGACGTAATGTATTGAAGCCAACGATTTCAAAAGATTTACGCACGAACTCTCACAATAGTTATTCAATGAGTAGAAGGCTATTGCCACATAACGGATGGGAGATTGAAATGGGCAATGGAACCCCAGAAAAACAAGTGATATTCTCTAGTCAAACCAGTGGACCACTTAGTCGTGTGATGGATTTAGAGTCAGCGGCTAGATATCCTCATCCTCTTGTTGCTTTTAATTTGATGTTAGGCCTAGTTACCAGTTTACACTATCAGAGATTGAAGCAGCAACAGATGACTTTGCTGATGAAAATGTAGTTGTTTGTGGAGATTATGCTATTGTTTATTATGGTATCTTGTTTGGCAATACTAGAGTTACAATAAAGCGGTTGATCAGTAGCAGGTTAGTTCGTGCAAAATTTACTATCGATCTGAACACTGATTGTGTTATTACACTGTCAATGCATATAACTTAAACTTGTGAATATACTGGAAACTAATTGATCACTCTTATTTTCAACTTTAAAACTGATCAAGTATAGCCATTGTTAACTTCACATCATTGTTTGTAAGAGAATTTGCAATTAAGCTTAGTATTGTAGCCTAGTAAATCAAATAAATGTTTCATTTTATCTTATTATTTGCTTCAAACACTGGATGGCAGGGCTAAAGCAAAGGACTTTACGAGGGAGGTAGAAGCTTTATTGGGTCTCAAACATAGAAACTTGGTGAAATTGCTTGGTTATTGTTTTGACGGATATTACAGGTACTACAAATCCTCTATGATCACTCGATTAAACAGACTTTCTATCGATGATTTTAATACATTGAATGACCATTGTTTATAATTGGACATAGGATAACCGTGGACGAGTACATAGACAATGGCAATGCAAAAGGGTTTGTGTTTAATTGAATTCCTTTCCTCTGAATCAACGATTGAAAATGATACCAAATTAAAACTTGAAATTATTTGATTTTGTGCAGCTTGGCTTACCTTCACGAGGATACTGAACCAGCAATAATTCATCAACACCTAAAGTCAAGTAGCATATTGCTTGATAAGCAATGGAATCCAAAGATATCTGATTTTTGTATCACCAAACTCTTAGGTTCTGATGAATGGAATTACCCAATAACACCGCCTACTGGAATGTCAGGGTGAGTAGTTGATACAAAATATAACTTCTATACACTAACAGTAGAAAATAAATTTTACACTATCAGGTCACCTAAAAGTTAACGTATAATTAAATAACCTGAAAAGGCAGTATATATAAGTTAAATCCCTTGATACACTATCAGGCATTATTTTTTGGTTGATTTATCACTTTGTTTTCTATGGCTTGGTTCAGCTATCTTGCACCAGAATACTTATCCACTGGAGTTTTAGATGATAAGTGTGATGTTTACAGCTTTGGCATACTTATCATGGAGATTGTATCTGGAAAGACTTCCATTGAGTATACTATCACAGAAATAGAGGTCTATATGTTCTTTCTTTTTTGGCATACATTCATTCTGATCTTCCCAGAGAAAACAAGAAAAAGGGTGGTCTAAAATGGGGTTATAATCAAGTGCAGGAGTATCTAATTGACTGGATAAAGTCAAAGGTGGAAAGCCAACAATATGATCAAATAGTTGATCCAAAGCTACCAGAAATGCCTTGTATGAAAGAACTGAAAAGAATTCTGCGCATTGCTCTTAGATGTGTTGATCCAGATGTTAGCAACAGGCCTAAAATGGGAGAAGTGATTCACATGCTGGAGCCACGCGATTTACTACTAGGCGATGTAATGTCATTCCTCTCTTTTATGATAAGCATTTAACAAACGAGTTTAACTTTTATGCACTTTATGTTTATATAATTAAGTCATCTAATAGGTAAGTAGAGATAATTGCTCATAATGTGTAATTGGTAACCTGTTATTATAGGTTGAATTACACTAATTTCTTTTACGCTATTAGTGTATATAAATTAAGTCCGAGACACTAATTCAAGCTATATCATTCAACAAGAACCTAAAACATTTTATGGTACATTTTTTCATAATTTGTATGAATTTTGCTAATACAGGGACATGTTATCAAGAAACAGACATCGTGTCGAAGTTCTGCGCAGCTGCTGTCAAATAGTTAGTCTTGCTCGCATGCCAATTTGATGAAACTCGATAATGTCTTATCTTCTGTTGCTGAAGCAGTTGTAATTAGTTCAACAAGATGATTGTCAGATTTATTAATTGGCGTTTAAGAATGGGTAATCTATGCATATCATTAGTTTTTTGTTCCATTTGATGACAAATTAAGTCAATTATTACCTGGTTATCATTTTAATAGTGGCTGCTGTTTGCAGACTTAATCTGGAACTTATACAATATAATCAGCTGCCCCTCCTGAATTTTTTTGTAAGGCTATTTTGTTTTTTCCGTTTTGAACAAAATCTTAAGGATTAGGTAGCAATTATTGATTACTAACAGCATTTTTAAAAAATAGGATTTAACCTATACATACTAAGACCATTATACAGACATTTTGCACTACAAATGTAACTTTACGGGCTGTAATGTGTTATTGACCTCTTTTCTTTGAATCACCAATTCATGCTTACTTTCACTTTTAAGAATCTGTTAATATAAATTACTAAACACATATTAATGGGTGACTATCATATTTATTCTCCATCAAACTTTGTATGATAAATTAAACTCGTACAAAGCAACAACTTTATAGTTTATACTATATAAACATTCTTCTACTCCTATCTCAAGATCCAGTTATTGACCTTGTTGTTGTAAATATAACGCCTATGCGGCTAATTTTATCAACCCATCTCTACTTACAATTTTAAAGAATCTTTTCCTTACATGAAATTGGTAAATTTGACTTTACGCTCTTTTTTTCATCGTAAATACTTTAAATAATAATCCGATGCGTTCTCTTCTTCTAAATTTATTTTTAAATGAATAGATGATATACATTGAGAAACTCTTATAAAGCTATTTTATGATACGCGTGTTGCGCGTGTATACTATTTCAAATGGTAAAAGACTTTTTAAAAAAAATGTATAAATATTATATAAAAATATTTTGCTTGAGTTATAAAATAAAAAAACATGTTCTTGAAAATAATGAATAATGATCTTATACACATCACTTAATAAAAGAAGAAACTGTCACAAGAAAAGTTCTCAATCATCAGTCAATACATTCAACTAAAAGGTTGTTGCAGATTATAATTTTATTTTATAATAAAATAGATATAAATCCTATTAATCATTAAAATTGATTAGGTAATATAATACCCCTCTTTCTCATCTTTGTAATTTCAATTCGAGCAATGGAAGTATCTTTAGATACAATTCGTTTATCTTACTTTAAATAAATTGTTAATATATTTGTAATTATTGATTTCTCACTATATGTAAAGCATTATGATATAATCTATCAATATCCTTGTACAATTTAATCTGTACAACAAATTTAGGAAGGGAATTTAATAATTGAGCATGTCTTTTGAAAGGATGTTTTATCAGGTTAAAACATACCTGAAATAAACATGACATGTAGAATTAGAAGATTCCATGATCAATACAAAAATAAAAACAAAAACACAAAGAATAAAAAAGGAAAAAGAAAAAAAATATGCACATACGGCCTTCACTCTAGTGCTTCAAAGTATCTAAAGAATTTATAGACTTAAATGAATTAATAGACCATAACAAATAGAGAATCAACCAGCAAATAGATTCTATAATCAATACCTCTTCACATATCAATATTTTGAAGACACAAATTCTATATGAAAGATACACAAGAGTTTAACATAGACAAAAAGATCAATTTTTACTTCATAATCATAACAAAGGAAAACTAAAGATTCCAAAAAGAAAAAAATTTGAACGTTATGAACCTGATCGAGAACCAATTGATCAGTACTAATGTTTTGGTTGGAGGAAACCAACTTAACTCGCGATATCATTACATGTAATAGTTTTATATGCTAGACTTTGATGAGGACTCAACAATCGTATTATTTTTCTAGTTGATACTTCATAGAAGTTATTGTTGTACTTAATTATTCACAAAGGCAATATTTATGTAGAATTTTATTTTTGGTTAAGGATCTATTGTGCTGCCAAAAAAAAAAACTCCAAAACGTCTAAACCTAAATAAATATGTGATGATCCTAAAGGTCATCTCTTATTTTAGAAGTCAAAACTGTGTTACGAGGCCTTAAAGACCTCTTCTTGTCTCACCTCGATTTGCTTGCACAGTCCGAGCGCGTTTCC